GTAGACCAGACCCAGCCGGTCAGCGGGAGCCAGCTTGACGACGAAACCCCGGAACTCGGATTCTCGACGGTGGATGCGGATGCTCTGACGGCGCCGTCAGGCCACAAAGCCCAGACACACGACGACGACCATGTGTCGCAGGACACGGAGGATACGGTGTCGTCAACACTGTCCAACAGCTCCGTCGCGAGTCCGCCGTACTGGATGAACACGCATGCTCACCAGCGCAACACGTCCAACGTTTCGGTCGAGTCCGTCTTGCCGGCCGGCGCCATCATCCTGCAAGACAACGATACGAGCGAACACCAAGACCGAAACAATGCATGCTGGGCAAAGAGCGTCGAGATTGTCAACTACACCGTTGTTAACGGGGGAGCAACAAGTGTCGGCGCATTTGTAGTCTGGAACGTCCGTGTAGAAACTCTGAGTGTAGGTTTTGTCCCACCCGAAATCTTGCAATTCATTTATGGTGTGGTAAACAAGCAAGTGCTGACTACTGCCGTCGGCGACAGGGAAGCTACATGAACATCCGGAAACGATACTCGGAATTTGACGAGTTCCGCAACAGACTCGTCATATCGTTCCCCGGCTTTGAGGGGGCTGTGCCATCACTCCCTCCCAAGAGCGTGATTTCCAAGTTTCGACCCAACTTTCTCGAGAAGAGGCGGGCTGGCCTGCAGTATTTCCTCAAGTAGGTTTTGTGCGAGCGTCCGGCTTGTTTGAGCAATCTGTTAAGTTCGTTTTTTTTTTTAAAGGGTTTAATCATTTATGTGTGTCAGATGCCCGGTTTTCAGCATTCCGTGTTTTGGTTTGTGCGTTTTAGTTGGGGATTGTGCTGACATGCACTGGCGCAGCTGCATATTATTGAATCCAGAATTTTCAGGATCGCCGGTCCTAAAAGAATTCCTCTTCTCTTAACGATCATGAGGCTATGAATTTCGATTGGTGAATGGTATTCAAACGTACAAATGAGCAGACTTGGATATCGGACATACAAACTGTCTTACGGCAGCATCTTTTCTTGTAACTACTTATTTCATTTTTTTTTTGGACTTGGGTCCCAGGGGAGAAAGAATTCTGTCTTGCATATTTGGTAGCGGCTAAAGAAACAAAAAAAAAAGTGCGCCGGTAATAACTATCGACTTCAGCGATTCTTGTGCTTGAATCATAGGGCTCTCGCGCGTCATGGTCTCGCCCTCGTGGGAAGCGTGGAAGCAGGCGATGCATGACAGGTTCATCTCGGCTCTTTCTTAGGCATTACTAATTCCAAGCGTACTTGGCGATCAGCGTGCTCAGCCTCGCAGAATGCCTCACGGCCATGGCATCATGGGTGTTTTGGGGCCTCCGCCCCGGGCCAAAGCGTGCTGTGGACACGACTAGCGGCGGCGGCAGACAAAAGTTGCACCGGACGCGCAGTCGAACGATATCCGAGCTGGGCCAGGAGTGAAGAAGGAGCCAGACGGCAGTTGATGCGTGTCTTGAAGCGGGCCAGGCAGCTTTCGTACGGAGGCTTGATGGTGGGCGACGGGGTCCGTGGGCCTGGGTAAGAGCCCGAGTCCGGCTGCAGAAGGCAATAACTTATTCTCGTACGAATAGGCCGCGCTTGTTCCGAGTAAATTCATGGATTGATCCCTTTCGAGCTCCCTCAGCTTACATGCTCAGTGCATATCCTGCGCTTTGCGCCTGTTGTTCGATACGCGTATTCACCAGGCAAACCGGCCGGTGCTGGAATACGCCACATAGCGAGGGTCCATCCAGCCTTGTCGGATGACTTCAACACTCATTTTTATAACGACTCCATCCTACCTCTTCTTGCCCTGACCTCTCCTCTGCATCTAATTTGCTGTGTTTTTTTTTTTTTTTTTTTTTTTTTGCGCTTTCCTAGTCCCGCGGACCAACTCTGGAGTACTCCGTATTGCATATGCTTGCAGGAGTTCTTCTACTTTGTCCACCTTAGCATTTCCACTCCACCAATCTCGCCTCTTCAACAGACGACAGCTCCTACGAACAGCCAGCCACATCCATCCATCCCGAAACCTCAGCGTTGCCAAGCCAGATTTCCACGGCATTGAATTTCACAAACGTCTCGACCTACATGCGCAGTTCAGTTTACAGCCAGAGTACGCCGTGTTACCGACGGCTTTTCCTTGACCACTACCGCGAAACCAATAAACCCGGTCATCCTTGCTGCTCGGGCTCGACTTGGACAGCCGGCGCTTCCAGGATCCTCAACCCAAAGATTCTTTCCGACCACCAACCACGAATTAGTTACCGTTCACCAGCATCGCCTCCTCGGGCATCTTCCCCCACTCATCCATCAAAACGCCCAAGCACTTGGGCATCGGGCGCCACTAGCTTGCTGCAGCACCTGCTCGATGACGCCCCGCCAGTCCGCGACTCCGCGAGAGAGGGCGCCTACGGTAGATTAGAATTAATAAACGGCCCCGTCCCGGAGGAACATGTCAACGTCTGACAGTGCCATTTCCTTCGGCGCCAGTACCAGCGCCAGTGTCAGCACATGCCCGTCAGTCCCCAAGACCAAAGAATACATGGATTCCCTGGTGCTGCCGTCCCAGGCCAAGTTTGAGCACATAGCTCAGGTGCAGGAGGAGAAGGAGGTCGAAGCTCGCCGGAGAGCTCGAGACGAATGGCGCCGGCTCTCAACATCTGGTGCCTCGGACGGTATCCACCACTCCGCCAGCGCCGGCCATCACAACCGCGAGCGTGACGAGGCCGCCAAGGTTATCCAAAAGACGTTTCGAGGTTATCGTGCCAGACGGGAGCTGCAAGGCTACAGTCTGAATGCGAGCACACGATGGGTCACGGCGGTTCGAGAAGCCCAGTTTCGTCAAGGCATAAAGCCCCACGCTACTGCTGATGCGGCTGCTTCTCCTTCCGCCGCCGACGGCGATGTTCTCGCGCTCGAGGACCCCATTGATTATCGCCCTGCCAGCGCAAGGCAGAAATGGAAAAAGGCAAGCTTGGTGGCCCGCCGCGCAGGACACGATGATTCCGACTCGGAGTCTGACTCGGACGAGGGCGATTTGGAGGGCATGACGTCAGAGGAGAAGGCGGCAGCCAAGGAACGGCGTCTCAAGGCGACTGCTAAGCGACGCCAGGCTGCTCGTATGCTGGGCCTGCAGTACTTCTTGGAAATGGTGGACTCGAAGCACAGGTATGGTAGCAATTTGCGCATGTACCACGAGGAGTGGAAGAAGTCCGACACAAAGGAGAACTTCTTTTACTGGTTGGACTACGGCGAGGGCAAATTCATTGAGCTGGACACATGTCCGCGGGACAGGCTTGAGCGGGAGCAAGTGCGATACTTGTCTCGCGAGGAACGACAGTATTACCTCGTCCGAGTGGACGCAGAGGGACGCCTATGCTGGGTGAAGAACGGTGCCCGGATCGACACCACCGAACAGTTCAAGGACAGCATTCACGGCGTCGTGCCCCTTGACGACCCCACGCCGGCATTCACGCCTACGTCCTCGCAAATCCTGCACCCACAAGACAATGACGACAACGACAACGCATCAGACTCAGACTCATCTGACGAGTCCAAGCGCGAAGCCGACCGCGCCGCCAAGTACGCCGATCCCGGCTTCGACGACTCCAAGGGACTCAAGGTTACGCACATCTCCGCATCCACCATTTTCAACCAACTCTTGCGCAAGTCGGTCAAGAAAAACACGTGGATCTTCGTGGCGGACACCTCCTTCAGACTCTATGTCGGCATTAAGGACTCTGGCACCTTCCAGCACTCGTCCTTCCTCCAGGGCAGTCGCATCTCCGCTGCCGGACTCATCAAGGTCAAAAACGGCCGCCTGTCATCCTTGTCGCCGCTGAGCGGCCACTACCGTCCGCCGGCGAGCAGTTTCCGTGCCTTTGTGAAGAACCTCAAGGAGGAGGGCGTGGATATGAGCCACGTTTCTATATCCAAGTCGTACACCATTCTCGTCGGGCTGGAGACGTACCTCAAGACGAGGAAGAAGGGCAAGGAGCTCGTGGGGAAGCTGATACATGGCAAAGACAAGTTGGTCGCGCCCGAGGAGGTGCAGCGGCGGGAGGAGGAAAAAAAGGATAAGAGCGAGAGCGCGGAAAAAGAGAGGAGGGTGTTGGAGAGGGAGAGGGAGGAGGCGGAAAAGGTCAAGAGGGAAATGAGGAAGAGTGATAGAGTGATGGACAAAATTAAGAGTTTGCCGGTGCATACCAAGTGAGCTGCCGGCGCTGACGCTTGGATGTTTATATACCCCCCTATTATTTTGAATACATTGTATGACTTCATATTTATGCTGTTGCGTGATTGGAAATACTTGCGATAGCTGGTGGCTCAAGTGCAAGCTATTGGTTTCGTGGATGGGTGATGGCAAGTTAGTAGCCACATTTGAAGTGAGAAAGGTCTGGTTGTTCTCTGTTGGCATCAGCCGCAATGGCCGGAGAGTTTAAGGTGTTGTAAGCGCTGTCCGTGCTAGTCTTTACTTTGCAATTATTTTGAACTGTAATAGCCCCTGTTTGGTTGACTGATTGATTGAGCTGTTTAGCGTCTTTGAAATCTCCACAAGGGCATCTGAGACGCGCTGGGCCAACTAACTATACTAAATTGATGACATTTTTATAATATTGCGTGCGCATTAACCGGATTGTCCCTTTTTATAACCAGCCCGGCGCATCAGGGCCTCTATTCGGCTCATCAACGATCAAAGGTACAGGGTAGCCGACTTCGGCTTGGCACGTAAACATCGAAACGCGTAAACTACAGCGCGGGTCGGTTTCACAGTACTCAAGGGCGACAGGGCACGCTAGGCACTGAAACGCACTGGACGCCGGCAGGCACGACCGCTGGAACCGCACAGGCTAGAAGTGGGCGCCAGCGGGCTTCAGGGCACCCACATTGCTGATTGCCCACCAACCACACCGGAAGCATCGCGCATCCAGCACCAGACGTCGACAGCAGGGGCGGAAAAAAAAACACATCAGCAAGCAGCAGAGACGGAAAACCGCCATCGAGAAACCAAGGACGCGTCGTCTTGATTGCGAGACTGACCCTCAGCAGACGGCGATAGACAATGCAAGGCCTTGCCCTCGTCGTCAATGGCCTCCGTCACCCGCTCCAACCGGCGAGCTGAGGGCCCTCACCACGCCCATGCCCATGGCCATCCCCATCATCATCCGCACCCGCACACGCATCACCTCGCCAGCCCCCTCACGCATCCGGCCAACCCGGCTGCCAGTCTGTTTGCCTCGAGCGACGGCGCAGGTCGAGGCGGTCGTCAGAAGCGAGCCCTCGACCCTGCCGACCGTGAAATCGATGCCTTGAGGCCCAAGAAGACGAGGATCGCCGTGGAAATCCTCTCCAGACACCAGCCGCCGCCCGTCCAAGGGGTGCGGGCCTCGACTGTCGTCCAGCCTCCGTTTCCGCCGATACCGCTTGCACCACCGCCAGCCGTGACAAACACCACCATCCAAAATCCCATCCCGACAACCACGGCAGTCGCGCCGCCGGTCCTGATAAATCCTGCGGTCAATTCCAGCGCAGTGTTGGCTGCGCCCGTGACTGCTGCCCCCAAGACGAAACCTCCCGTTCCCGTGGAGCAGGAGCCAAATCTCACAAAACACCAAGCCAAGGTCATCAATGGCATCCGAGCGGAGCTTGATCGGCTGCAGCCACAACCTTCGTCCACCCGCGAACAGGGGCGCAAACTACGCTCTCAGGAGGCTACTAGATTCAAGAGTGACTTGTCTGCATACTTTCCAGACTACGACGAAGTGATTGGAAATGATCCCAAGGAGCAACGTACGTATGCGTCACTGTGCCAGAAGGATTCGGCACACATCCCCGCCTTTTTTTTTTCTTCTTCTTCTTATTCTTTTTTTTTTTTTTTCCGTTTTGCGCATTGTGCTCACATGGTGTGCAGACTTTTTGAACCTTGAAACCCCAATTGTTGTGGTTGACTCGAATCCGCGACGCGTCATCACGGAAGCCCAGCGTGGAGGCGCACGGGTGCAGCAGCAAAGCCGCATCTTTGAATTCCCAGTCCGCGGATATGGCGATTCTTTATATACCGACGTTTTTGATTCGCAAAGAATCGATTTCAATTTCCTGGAGACCCAACAAACTAATAAAAGCCTTGACGACCCATTGCCGGATAGTCTCTTTGAGCCTTCGCATAAGAGAGCAGAACGACTAGAGCGGTCCATACGTAACTCTGAAAAGGGACGTGCCCAGCATGAGAAGGACCAAATAATCCGGCTTTTGGAGGGTCTCCAGGGCCACGATTGGCTGAGAGTAATGGGAGTTAGTGGTGTAACAGAGACGAGGAAGAAGGCCTTTGAGCCCGCGCGTGCTCACTTTGTCAAGGGCTGTCAAGGCATATTGGAGAAATTCCGAACATGGAATTTGGAGGAGAAGCGGCGGAAGCTAGAGAAGGAGAAGGTGTTGCAGGCCGAGCAAGAAGCTGCGTTGGCTCAACAAGAAGGGGACGAGCAGGGAGAACCCCTCAAGGCAGATGAAATTGAGGATTCAGCTGCAGAAGACGACGTCGACGAGAGTGAGGACATCCGAGGAGACACCAGAATGGACCATGACGCAGACCAAGTCTTGGAAGACACTGAAGAAGAGGTTGTGACATCACAGAGCGATACTAGCGATGCGTCACCTGCCAAGCAGCTTCGTCAAGAGGCCCTGGCAAGATCACAGTTAGCGGCAGCAAATGCCAGAAAGCTGAAAGCGCCGCCACGGTCCACGCCCCCAAAACCGGCGGAAGCGCAGAAGGAATTCACTTCCTTTTTTGGCAAGAAATATGAGCGAGACAACGCCCTTAATCGGTCACGTCGCATCGGCCGCAAGGTGTTAGCCTGGGGCCATCCCATTCCAGACCTGGAAGAAGCCGATTTTGTCTTACCGGAAGAGTATCGGGACGAGGAACTGCTCAAGTCTAGGGCACGCAGGAAACGGAGAGACAAGCGTAGTAGCAGGCCCTAATACCGCTACGGGCTGAGGTAATTTTCTCCTTTTCAATTCTATACGCAAGCCACCCCGCAACACGGCCGTGTATTCGCTCACCCTTTGCCTTTTTTTTTGTCATAATTTCAACTCTCTTCGTGTTTGCATGGCGTTGGGGTCAAAGGTCCGGGTCTCCAGCTCAGAGACTACTGTCAGAACCTTCTAGTGTAGTATATATTTGACGAATTTGTGCATTATCAACTGTGGAACATTTGTTTAGCAGTCAGGCCGGGGCATGAGGCGAGGCATAAGGATAGGCAACGGGTCGAGTTGTCATTGATTTTGAGCGTAACATTGGTCGGACTTCACCACTAGCATACGCAGCTTACAGGTACATTAGATACCAAATGAATTGTAACCATGTACGGAGTACAATTGAAGCACTTTTGAAATCATGACAAGTGACAGGCTGGACCCACTTCGTCGCATCGGCGCACCAGGCACACCTCAAGGTGGTCCGTGCGTTGGAGGCAAGGTTGCCAACTCTTGAACTTTTGTGGATGAAGGCAGCGCGAGCATCCGCGACTCGAGGAAACGTACGCCTCCCGCTCCTCACACACAAATATTCACGGTGCGTCGCGCCTGCGCCCTTTGTGCGGCCGCTCATTTTCCTGCGAAGCGTGTGACTCATCACGAGACACCTCCGAACACTCTTCCATCAACCACTTGCCAACTACCTCTTCGTCGTGCCGCGACCTTCCTTCGCCTACTATTTGCTATGAATGCGACCGACGACTCGTGAGACCCCGAAATACGAATGCGCCTATCAAATTCATAAAAGGGCGCTCGCTACTGCGAGGTCTTTGATGACCAACTCACGCGGGGAGTTGGGATCGAAGATAGAGTAACCAAACACGGGGCATTCGGAGCTGTAAAGGAACCTCGACCTGAACCACCATGTCGCTCCTTGATGGTGTCGAGCAGCACCCTCTGCTACACACAAATGACAACTTGCCGCCGATTAAGGACGATCCCGTTCAAGAGTTTTTTGTCCTCAAGCAGGAGGCGAGGCTGGACGTGAACTTTCGCGAGCGAAGAATCGATGGCATTGTTGACATTTATATCGTCATTTTTTCCGATAATGTCGAGGAGATTCATCTCGATGCAGCTCACTGCGAAATCGACACTAATAATGTGACCGTTACCGAAATGCGAGAAGCCCACGGAGGAGCGATTGAGGGACAAAAACAAAAGGTGCCTGCCGAATATCAGGATCCGTACCAAAGACTCTCCCATTCCAAGGGCTGGAACTGGAGAGCTGAACACCATGACCTTCGTAGGAAAAGAGCCCGAAACGTCTTCCACAATCGAAAGACCGATGTCCCCGCCGAGAATAGAGAGATCGAGGGATGCACACCAGTCTACGGGTCATTGAGGATCAGTCTTCGTGGGGCGAAGGACGCCGAGCGCCCCAAGTTGATTATAAGGAAATCTGCTTTGAATGTCGATGGCGCCAACAAGGGACACAAGCAGTTCAAAGTTACTGTCCCCTTCACCAATAAGAACCCTCGCGATGGCCTGCATTTCGTTGGAGTGGACGCTCTTGACAATCGGTACACACACATGTATACGCGACATTCCATTCAGCCGGGAACGGCATCATGCATCTTTCCTTGTGTTGACGATCATGGTGCCCGTTGCGACTGGAGAATCTCCATTCGATTTCCCCGAACTCTCGGAGACGCGCTTGAGCAAGCGTTGGCTACCCAAAAGGACACCACAGTCAATGGAGTTGACAAGTCCCATGATCATGATGACCGTAAGATGATGCTGGCAGAAGAAGACAAGCTTCGAGAAATGACTGTTGTTTGTTCTGGATTTCTCATGGAGGAGACCATCGACCCTCAAAATGACCACAAGAAGATCATGACCTTTGAGCCAGAAAAGAAGGTATCGGTACAAAAATTGGGATTCTCTATCGGGCCGTTCGAGCATATAGACCTGTCATCTGAATTTAGAACAGAGGAGGATGAAGTCAAGCTCGGCGTGAGCGCCTTGAAGGTCCATGCCTACTGCTTGCCTGGCCGCGCTGACTGGGTACGCAGTACCGGGGCAGCTTTGACAATGGCAGCAGATTTCCTGACCTATACCTTTGCTAAATATCCCTTTGGCAACTTCAAAATCTGTTTTCTTGAAGACATGGTGGAGGACACTGTACCATTGCACTCGCTGGCATTTATCAGTACGCGTCTGCTGTTTCCAGAGGAAATCATCGACACCGAAATCGAAACAACCAGGAAAATCGTCTTTACGTTGACTTACCAGTGGATCGGCATTAATATGATACCCAATACCCGCAATGATCTCTGGCTTGTTCTTGGAATTGCGCATTATATGACTGATTTATTCATGAAGAAGCTCTGTGGAAACAATGAACATCGATTCCGTATGAAGATAATGTCGGACAAGCTGGTTACTGTCGACATTGATCGGCCATCGTTGTTTGATCTTGGTCCAAACTTGCACCTGGGGCAGTTCGAAATGGATTTCATGACCTTGAAGGTGCCTGTGGTCTTCTTTATTCTCGACAAACGAATGATCAAAGCCTCTGGTGGCCACGGTCTGACGAGAATACTCCAGAAATTTTTGACCAAGGCACAGATCGAAAGCAGTGATCGTTCCACTATCCTGGATACAGAGAAATTTAGAGCTGTTTGCGAGAAGGGCTCGCGGTATCGGTTGGAGGCCTTTTGGAACCAGTGGGTATATGGCTCGGGCTGCCCTAGATTTGAAGTCAAGGCGAAATTCAACAAGAAGAGGCTTTGCGTGGAGTTGACTCTTAATCAGATACAACACCAAGAAGCCAAGAGAACTGGGGGTCTGGAAAAGGACGACTTTTTACGGGTTGTCAAAGAGCGACGAGCCGGCCTGAAGTTGGGAGAGGTACAGCCATTGTTTACTGGACCTATGACTGTGCGGATCCACGAAGCTGATGGCACTCCCTACGAGCACATTCTCGAAATACGAGAGGATGCCACACGATCAACAAAGTTTGAAATCCCCTACAATACCAAGTACAAGCGACTCAAGCGGACACGACGCATGAAAGAAAAACATAGTGGTGGTGGGAGCATGGAGATCACCGAGAATGCAGACGATGCGTTGCTTTATTGCCTTGGAGACGTACTTCAGACCCAGGATGACCTCAGGGATTGGGAACTAATAGAATGGGACCCAGAGACGGAGCGAAAGATGGATCAAGAGTCTTATGAATGGATCCGTGTTGATGCCGACTTCGAATGGGCGTGCGATATGAAACGCACTCTTGAGCCGTACATGTACGTTTCCCAACTACAACAGGATAGAGACGTGGTAGCACAGCAAGACGCCATGCTTTATCTCACCCATGGACCACTTCACCCTATTGCCTCCGGTTTCCTTGTCCGAACCTTGATTGACCGGCGGTATTTTCATGGTATCCGGACGATGGCTGCCGAAGCATTACCACGGCAATCGAATATCAAGGGCATCCCGCTACTAGGTTTGAGACAGCTCATGAGGGCATTCCGCGAAATGTTCTGCTTCCAACAGACCAACCAGCCATTTCCGAATGATTTTACAGACAAAAAACAGTATAATGTTAGGCGTGCTGTCATTAGAGCCATCTCCGAAGTTCGGGACCACACCTACCGCTGTCCGCTGGAAGCGCGGCAGTTTATCTTGGACCAGCTCCTGTTCAACAATAACGAAGACAACCCATACTCTGATCACTTCTACATCGCCACCCTGGTCGAGGCTCTTGCTACATCTCTTATCCCATCCAAGCAGGACGACTGGCTTTCTCGTCAGAGTAAAGCACCAGATGAAGAGGAGCGTCTGTTTCTCGAGAAAGCCATGGAGCAGATCGAACGAGTCCTGCGACGCGATGAATGGACCAACTCATACCAGAATGTGTGGACCATTGCTGGCCTGGACGCAAAACAACGACTGATGAAGGCAGAGGTCATCCCGAAGAGCTACCCTGATTTCGCCCAATATCTGTTGGACGGGAGCCGGGATTTGATCCGTATCAAGGCCTTCGAGGCTCTCATCGACTTGGGTGCCATGCTGGACGCAACCTTCTTCACTTTCTTTCTTTTTGCACTCATGACAGACAGATCCCCATTCGTTCGCAATAAGCTCATTCAAGCGATGGCTAGCGGTCTTGCCGCAATCGCCTTTGGAGAACATACCAGGATCGTTAAGAACGAACCGACCACAGACGATATCGAAGAGACGCTTCTCTTGGTGCAGGATAGTGCCCAGGAGATTGAGGCGAGGAAGGAAAGGATTGCCCGTAAAGAAAATCTTGACGCTGCTCTTAAGGCGTTGCGCAAGGAAATGGATGAGATCTATGTTAAAGATGAACGATATTACAGCAATGCAATGCGCAAGGCTCTTGATCATCCTGGCTTAGGACGGAGCGAGGTAGAGAGTCTGTTGGACCTGGCGGCTATGATGTTTGAGGAAACCCAGGGCTGGGTGTTAACGCTCAATCTACCCAAGGCGTGGAAGGTCGAGAGACCTGCTCAGAGGCTGGCGGATCGACTCATTGTGAACTTCAAGTCACACTATAAAACGCAGCCCAAGTACCCCATCACTTTCCCTGATGCTTCCGAAGTTCCTCGACCAGCTCCTATTCCTAGAACGTCCTCCATCAAAATCAGCACCACCAAGGTGTCTACACCACAGCGACCTACTCCTGCTCCAGGCAGGAGCGAAACCGATACGATTGTCGCATCCTTGGTGTCAAACACTAATGGTACGGCGACGAAGTCTACCAATCTAGAAAACGGCGCAACGCCTGCGTCAGCCGCACCCAAACGACCTCGACCAGAGAATGATAGCAGCAGTCCTGTACCAAAACGTCCAAAGACAGAGTCATCCATCACCAATGGTGACAAGGCATCCAAGAAGAGGCGTATGGTAACGCTGAAGACGGGCAACCCTAAGCGTTTGGCTGTAATTCTTGGATTGCCATTAGGCCTAGCGCCGGTTGC